GGGATTCAGGAATCCTGGGCCTGTTTTCTGCATAAAGGCAACAGAGAAGATGAGGTGAAGTTTTGTGAGAGAAGTTTTAGTTTCATTCTCAGGAAATTGGGGCCATCAATGGCTGTGAACAAAAAAGGGACATTGAGGTAGGGTTCTAAACTCTTCCCCAAAATGCTCAGAAGAGCACAATGGAAGAGAGAAGATATCCAACAGGTACAGGAAATGGAAGTCCTTTGAAAAATAATGAACTTGGCAAGAGTGTGCACTGAGGTCTAAAGCTAGAGGTAATGCAGTCATGTCTAGATTACTTTACCTCGGGGCTGGGCAAAGGTACTGAGCCACTGAGCCCATGGATCCTAGCAATTTCCAGGCTCTCAACAGAACTTTTTCTTTCACAGATTTCTGCAAATTCAGAATACCTTAGAGCAGTGGTTCTCAAACCTTGGCTGCACATTAGAATCACCTGGGAATCTTTTCAAAATCCTGATTTCTGGGCCTCATCCTCCAGAAATTCTGTTTCTTTGTTATGGGGTGGGGCCACAAAGAAACAGAATTTCTGGAGGATGGGGCCTAGAAATCAGGATTTTAAAAAGATTCCCAGGTGATTCTAATGTGCAGCCCAGGTTGAGAACCACTGGCTTAGAGGTACTGGTTTGTGGGGCTTATTCCAGGGCCTGACACTCCTATGGCCTCTGAGAGAGAGGTGTCCTGGGACTGTCCAGCCGCTCTTCCAGTCCTTGCACCTGGGGAACTTGAAGAGACACCAAGCCCAGAATCATAAGTCCAGGTTTATGGTCATGTGAGTGGTCCCTCATTTCGGCTGCCAGGAATTGGATGTGTAGGTCCTTCCAGGCATAGTTTCCAGAATGTGCAAAGGCTCAGAGTGAAGACTGAGCTGACTCGGGGACCAGCAAGTGGACTTTTTTTTTCTTACCTAGGAACTGCTAACTATGGGACAGGATTCAGGTCTAGACGGATGTTGTGCTGTTCTGCAGGTGATGGGAGCAATGCGAGATATAGAGCAGTGGAGGCAGGTGATAGGAACCAGGCCATTAGATTCCCTGTGGGTGCATCATGTTGAACAATGTGGATGTGAGGGAGGTGGTAGAAAGACTAGTCATGGTGAGTGTGATGGTAACTGACCCATGATGGTGACCGTGGAGATTGGAGGAAGCAGTTATATTCTGGATCAGTTTTAGGTGTAGCCACCTGGATGTCTAAATTTGAGGTTGAGAGAGAATGGTAAGATTCAGGGAGGATGGAAGGTTTTGGATTTAGCAGCTTGAGGAATGGAAGCATCATCAACTGAGATGGATAAATTTATATATAGAGCAAGAGCTCTTTATATATAGAACACATCATTGGGGATACAAAAACTTTTTTTAAGGTGGTTAGTCGTATAACATATTTCATAGGGTATTTCAGGAGAGTGGAACTGTGAGGAGCAATTCAGGATGAAGAGATTTTAAAGTGGTAGTGGAGAGCGTGTGGACAAGAGTGGAGGTATAGATCACCTTTTTCTAAAAAAATATGTTCTTACTGAATTTAGAGGTAGAGAGGAAGAAACAGGGAGAGAGACAGAAAATTCGATGAGAGAGATCCAAGGATCGGTTGCCCTCTACAGGCCCCATTCTGGAAATTGAGAAGGAAACTTGGGTTAGTGACCTGACCAGGGCTCAATCCAACCAGTGACCTGTCAGCAAATGTGTCCATGCTCAACCAAGTGAGTTACACCAACCTGGCCTCTAAACCAGTTTAAAATGGGGAATCATGTGCAGGATGATGCAGGTAGCTCAGGAAGGAGAATGTCACCCCGAGGACTGGGTTTCCTGTTGGGCTCCAGTTTGTGGGAGGCAGGTGTCAGAACACATCATAGGGACAGAAGTGGTCAACTAGAGGGTGGAAGAGACATTATCATTTGGCAGTGTCCAATACCCACAAAAATGAGTGGACACAAGATGAATTGGAGGCTGAAGAGTAATTCAAATACATTGAGCCTGTGGATGATGCATATTTACTTCTCTCCACACTCACCAGGATTTTGTTGTGAGCCTTGGTGTGGCCTGGGGTGTTGCAGTCAGTCTGATTGATTAGCCTAGGGCAGTGGTCGGCAAACTGCGGCTCTCGAGCCACATGCGGCTCTTTGGCCCCTTGAGTGTGGCTCTTCCACAAAATACCACGTGCGGGCGTGCATGTACAATGCAGTTGAAACTTCGTGGCCCATGTGCAGAAGTTGGTATTTTGTGGTAGAGCCACACTCAAGGGGCCAAAGAGCCACATATGGCTCGCAAGCTGCAGTTTGCCCACTACTGGCCTAGGAGAATGAGTGTTCATCTGTGAGACTCACTAGCCATAGCAGGCTATCGGGGCTTTGGTGACAGTTAAGTGGAGAGATAAATGATGTCACTAGTGAAGGGACATCAAGTACAGCACCAGTGGAGCTGGTCTCTAGATATCTGAGATCTGATGTGGTTCTCAATAGCTGAGGTTGGAGGAAATACAATTAACAGTACTCAAGGATGCTTCCATGAGTGTGGACTATCACAGTCAGGGAAATATTTCATTCTGTTAGAAAATGCCAAGAATTTACTGGACACCCATGCTGAGTAATGAGTAAGAGGCCAAGAAGATGACTATGGGGGCTGTGGCTCTGGGAGTGCAGATGGAATGTGAATTCATGGATGTAGGAACCTGACATTGACATAAGAGTGAATGAAGGGTGAGATCATTTCTGGTGATGTCTGGATGACATAATATAGAGAATTTTAGGGTTATTTCTATAAAGAGGGGTGCTGTGCTACTAGTCAGGTCCAGAGCTTAGATGCCATATATGTGCCCACCTCCCTTTTGTTGTTGAGGTCTGATGCAGTGATTAATAGGATTGAGATAGCATACATCAGTGTCACGGAGCTTGAAAATCTTCACTGTCATGAGGAAGGGAGAGGGTAGAGAGAAATACATTATAAAGGTGGTGATTTGAATTTTGGAAAGAAGCTGATTAGGAAACAACACATCCTTCCCAAGGCATATTTTCTGTTAACTTTGGATTTGAGCCTCTCGAAAGAAGTGGTGTGAGAGAAATGTAGTGGAAAGAATCATGTGCGCCAGGTACTACAATGTGATGGCCTCAGCACTTTGGGATTAGGGTGGGAAGGGTGAAGTGTGATTTCATGCTTTTGGTGCCTTGTAGAGACACTCTGGGGGACTACAAAATATTGCTTGACAGGATCAGCGTCAAAACACTCACACTCCCTTTTGGGCCAACATCTCTTCCAACCTATGTTCATGACACCCAATGTGTTGAGTAGAGGCAGTGAGGCCTACATGTCTGGCTTAGAGCTCAGTTATCAAAATGTTTTTATCTGCCCTTATTGTTGGTGGAAGGCACAAGGAGAGAGTGATTTTGATGGGACCTAGGCCTAATATCTTCTCAGATGGAGTAGTAGAGGGAGCAGATGGATGGGGAGTATGATGAATGTAATATCATAGGAGAGAAGCTGAACTGTCCCCATTAACAGGATATGATCTTTGATGACTTGGCCATTACCTTCTCTCAAGATGAGTGGGGGCTCCTTGATGAGGATCAGAAACTTCTGTACTGCGATGTGATGCTGGAAGTTTTTGCACTTCTGTCATCTGTAGGTAAGACCTGCACATCTCTCCTATTGTCCTGAAATGATGTCCTCTGTTCCTTTATTCTGCAGGCGTAGCTTTCTCTCTCCCATAGCCAGACCATGGGCTCTGCCAATTTTCCCCATTATCTTGTCAAATGCCCTGTGGCTGCCAATGCTAAGCTGTGTGGAGAGCCCTGAGCAATGGACTCCACGAACATCCCTAACACCAATTGCCTCAAAATGTGCAGGAATATCTAGGAGTCAGGAGACTTAGAGGGAGCCTAATGGTTTCCACCTGCTCTTCTTCTCCCTGAGGAGGTGACTATATCCAGATCCATGGCTTCCATTTCTACCCCTTCCTCTAGCTAAAGTTTCTTTGTGACTGTCTGTGCCAGGTTATGTTCTTCACTTACATGAACCATGGCTGTTCTTGTAAGACCCTCCTTTAATTGCTGTTTGTAATCTTCACTTCCCTGAATACTATTGCAAGCTGAATTACTCTGGGCCAGTGCAGGCTGCTCACCTCTGTTGTCTTTCATTAATACTCAGAACATTTATATTTTATGTATGTGTGCAGGGAGAACCCTGTTTGTTTTTTTTACACAGGATGAACATGCAAGATATTCTCAGAAGAGGCCTGGCCCTGTTGAGTGGTAGCTGGGGGAAGGGATGACATAAGGGAGGTGTACAGATCATACAAAGAACTTGCTCATTTCTAACAGTTTTGACATGAAAATGACACTGGCAACACATAATTTCTACCTCATCTTTCTCATACTTGACATTTGGCTGACTTGTCATTTCAACTATGACTTCCTGGATTTACTGCTGCCTTCATCTTCCTGGTCTTTTTGCATCACCTGATCCTCTGCACTGCTCTCCCTGCAGTATTCTCAGACATTGACCTGCACATATGTCATGAGGTGCACAAACATGCTTAAATGATTCTTCAATATAGCTACAAAATTACTGAATTTTACTGTGAATGAGATATAACCTACCTCCTGCATAGTTTGCCAATGTCACCAGCAGACAAGCCATGCTGAGCACTGTTAGATGAAGAATGAGCTGGAGATCCGGCTTCTCTTCCACATGGTGCTTGCCATGTTTGTGTCTTATTTCTGGTGAGATCTTCCCTGTTTCATGATATTCAGAGGCCCAGAGTTTCAGCAGCCTCTTCTTAATCTTTCCAGCACATCTCTTATTCTTAGACAATTGAATGGAATGAATGTATTATGTGTAACACACTTTTGCAATGGGCCTTCCCCTGTCACCACAGTAAACATGCGGTTCCTCACCATTTCTCTGTTTTTAGGTTGTTAGCATAAAATGGATGAGAAGGAGGCTCCTAGGCAGAGTGTGTCTGTTGGAGAGTCACAGGACAGGGCTTCTAAGATGGCTCCAGCAACCCAGAAGACCTACCTGTGTAAGCAGTGCTTCTCAGTTTTAAAACATATTTTGCACCTGACGGCATCACAAGCAGCATACTCTGAGCAGAAAGCCTTCTTCAGTGACACATCTGTGAAAGACTTATTTTTAAGTGCAAAATGTCACCAGCAGCAAAGAGATTCCAGTGGAGAGAAGCCCTGGAAAGAAGATATGGACAGGGTCTCGTTTGTGACCAGGTTCAGCTTCTATTTAACACGGGTGCTTTCAACCAGTAGGGAGGTTGGCAAAGACTTGCCAGCCATCTCAGATATTCTCCAACACCAGGCCACAGTTAGCACTGAGGAGCCACACAGTAGCAATGACATTTCCCAGGAATGTCCCAGTGCAAAAAGACATCACCAATATGTTGAATGTGAAAAAACTGCCAACAGCAACCAGAAAGTTGTTCAAAATCTGGATGTCTCCTCTGCAGAAGTAAATTATGAGTGTAACAAATGTGGGAAATGTTTCACACGAAACTTTAACCTCATTCAGCACCAGAGAGTGCACACTGGAGAAAAGCTGTATGAGTGTAGTGATTGTGGGAAGTCCTTCAGTTGGAGGTCTAAACTCAATCAACACCAGAGAGTTCACACTGGAGAAAAGCCCTATGAGTGTAGTGATTGTGGGAAGTCCTTCAGTCAAATTTCTACACTCAGTCAACACCAGCGAGTTCACACAGGTGAAAAGCCCTATGAATGTCGTGATTGTGGGAACACGTTCAGTCAAATTTCTACACTCATTCAGCACCAGCGAGTTCACACTGGAGAAAAGCCCTATGAGTGTAGTGATTGTGGGAAGTCCTTCAGTTGTAGGTCTAAACTCAATCAACACCAGAGAGTTCACACTGGAGAAAAGCCTTATGAGTGTAGTGATTGTGGGAGGTCCTTCAGTCGGAGGTTTACACTCAATCGACACCAGCGAGTTCACACTGGAGAAAAGCCCTATGAGTGTAGTGATTGTGGGAAGTCCTTCAGTCAAATTTCTACACTCAGTCAACACCAGCGAGTTCACACAGGTGAAAAGCCCTATGAGTGTAGTAATTGTGGGAAGTCCTTCAGTCATAGATCTACCCTCATTAAACACCACAGGGTTCACACTGGAGACAAACCCTATGACTGTAGTAACTGTGGGAAGTTATTCCGTCATAGATCTACCCTCACTACACACCGCAGAATCCACACTCTAGAAAATCCCTAGGAGAGTAGTGATTGCCAGAAAACTATACTATTCAGGGAAAACTATACTCTCGTTGAACTTCAGAGAGTTCACACTGGAGAAAAACCTTACCAGTGTAGTGAAATTGGGAAATCTTTTAGCCAGACACCTGAGACTTCACTCTGGAGAAAAGCCTTCAATGTGTACAGAATATTTTATTTTTCTCAATCAGAATAACAGTAGTGAAGGAGACCCTTTGACACCTATTTACCAAAATATAAACTCCTTTTAACTGAACACACACTCTGATAGACTCCTCATAGGTTTCAGAATCAAGTGAGGCTTGAAGGAGCTGCATTGCCCTTGCTAACCTGCTCGAGCCTACTACCCGATTGATGTCACTTTGAGTACTTGTGGCTGAAGTAATTTCACCTCTACCACCTGGCTCACCTGAACAGTGTGCATCAGTCACAACCGCTGCAACCTCAGGGAAAATGAATTATGTGTTATCACTTCTGCCTCATGAATAATGAGTATTCTGAGCTATTGGCAGGATCTTCCCTCCTTTCTTTCTGACTAGGGAATGGACTGAGCCAGGGTTTATCCAGAGCACCCATGCTCAGCTAGCCAATGCTAGCTCTTTCAGGGACATGTGGTTCTCACAATATGCTGTGATGAATGGGTTCAGGTTCTAATTCACCAACCTGCTAGCAGCTTGCTGTATACTGCTCTGATTTATGATCATTTAGTAAAAGTGTTTTTGCCTTTGTACTTTTAATTCTGTTAGTTCTATCCACTGCCTGGATGATTTGAATGCAGAGTTGTAACCTGACTGCATGTAGAAGTGAACAGATATTGTGGGGATCCCAAACTTTCTGTGATTTAAAAGGGACCACATGATGGCCTAAAATCACTCTTTTTTTTTCAATGTCACACCAATAAATTTAATAAAAATATACTTTCAAAATGTGTAAAAACAAAAAATGTGAGTGAAAAATGTTTACAGTCTAGTGCAGCAATGCTTATGTGAGGGGTTGTGAGGAAAAATGTGTATTCTGGTTGCCTGAAGCTTTCCTGAATGAGAATATGTGTGAACATGCAGAGATATAATTAGTGACACTATAGAGAGGCAAAAAAAAGTAAAAATTCCAAGTGTGTATTTTTTCATATTGCTCTTTCCTTGCCCCCCAAATTATCACTTCCTGTTCCTGGATTACCCTTGTTATTAGGAACTCTAAGCCATGTGTGGCACCATACCTCCACTTTCAACCATCCTTCAACCACAGATCCTGCCATAGGTCCCTCAGCCTCTTGAAGTGACAATTTCCCCTAAAAGTGTTGGGTGTTCCTAGCTTCATCCTTTTTCCCATTTTGCTTACCCTCATCCTCAGACAGATGCCTCCTGCTTTTATTTTTATCACTCCTCACCTGAGGACTTTCCATTGATTTTTAGAGAATGTGGGAGAAAGAGTGGTGAGGGGAGAGGACAGAGGGGGAAGAAAGAGAGAGAGTGAGAGACATCAATTGGTTGCCTCCGCACAAGGGGACTAGAACCTGCAACCCTTTGGTGTGTGGCCAACACTTTATCCAAGGAGCTACACTGTCCAGAGTGATGCCTCTTTTAAAAGTCAGATGTAAGTCTATGATTTAGGGTTCTTGGTCTCTGTAAAGGTAGGGACTAAAATCACTCTTGGTCCAATATTGGCTTATTCTGCATTGCTGCCCAAGGCCTTGAAAGAAAGACTTCAGACCTTGCGGTTCAAATTTGCAGCCTGATGCCTCGAGATTTTTGGTGAGGTCAAAGGTCATTCTGAACTCCATCAACACCAGAGAGTTCACACTGGAGAAAAGCCCTATGAGTGTATTGATTATGGGAAGTCCTTCAGTCAAAGATTTACACTCAGTCAACACCAGAGTGTTCACACTGGAGAAAAGCTGTGCTTCCGTGAACAATATAAATTACATTCTCTGTTCACAGTAGGTATTACATAAGACTCAGCGATGTTTAGGGTAACTTCTCTCCATGTTCTGCAAAGGAGCCATGTGCTATGATGTAGGAAATTTCATGCCTGGTGTCATTTGTTGTAAGATTCTGAGGTGGAGCCACTATTGGGACAGAAACACTGTTTCAATAGTGAGTGGAAGAGACTTTAGTAAATTATATGAAAAGTGCCTCTTCTCAATGTAAATCCACAAATATTCCAGGGCCTAGGGCTTGTGTGATCTTTGTGTGCAGACATTCTCAGGATTTTTAAATCTGTTTCACTGTAGCTGAAGTCATTGGCAGAAAAAATAATCTAAGGTTTTTGTGGTTTTTTCTGGCCTCCTTAGGGTGTTCACCTCAAAGTTGTTGCTCAACATGCAAGAACGCAAAGCAAGAGGAAGGATAATCCTGTAATCCTTCCCAAGTGTGTCTGTCTTTAGGACCAGTCCGCATTCCTGTTGGTTCCCATGGCAATACTCTTCACTGCTTGCCAATATGTGCAGCCAGGGGCACCAGGCTTTTCCTTCAGGAAACAAGAGCTGATATGCAACAAAGTGCACTTTTCTAATGTTACTATTTGGTGAGCCTTGACACAGATATAAAGCCGTGAAACTGTCACACGTGAAATAAACTCATCTGTCACTCATACAGATGCTAGTGCAGAAGTAGTCTTATGATTGTGAGTTAGCAAAACACGGAGTTTATTCTTTTTAAAAATATTTTTAAAAATACTTTTATTCTATTCAGTTTTATGGGAGAACAGAAGGAATGGGGAGACAGAAACACTGAGTGAGATACATTGATCTAATAACTCCACATGCCCCCTACTGGGGATGGAGATGGGCTTGTGTCCGGACCTGGAATGGAGTCAGTGACCTTTCACTGCACAGGATGATGCCCAAACAACTGAGCCATCCTGGCCAGGGCAGAGTATATTCTTGTTTTATTATTTGTTGTTTATTGTATCTTTTTTCATACCAAGGACTCTAAACATACTTTTGGCACAACTTATATTTACCTCCTACCATTTTGTAATCTCTCTTTCTGCCTTTCCAAGCCCTCAATGGAGTCATTGATTTTCCTTCCTATACAATAGATTATATTTTTCATAATTTTATATGCACTGTAAGTTGTGTGCTTTTTAATAAATACTGGTTTTCCTCATGCTACACAGTTATTTTGAGACTCAACCCTAATGCTTATTTAAATAGTTAATTTTGTTATTGCTGAGTAGTATTGTGTTCTATGGATAACCACTTTATCTCTTGATCTCTCTATGATTTTAATTCAGGTTTGTGGTAATATAAATAAATCTGCTGGGAATATTTTCATTCACTTCTTTATATAGTTACCTGTTTTCCTTTTCAAACTGTTGCAGTAGGTGAATGTTTTACATTTTAAGAGATGCGGAACTATGGTCTAAAATGGTAGTTCTTTTTGCCTTCCCACCACCCACAGTAAAGAAAACCCCAGTGCCTCCATAGCCTTGAGAGCAATCACAATGGTCAGTTGTTTTAAATACAAGCCCTGGAATGAGTATAATGTTAGCCCTCTTTCATTTCATTCCTTTTCCCTAAGAATCTGTGATGGTGATAATTTTTTCATGCACTTATTTACAGTGTGTTTATCTCCTTTGTGTAACTATCCAGAATGGTTTACGTATTTTTAAATGGGTTTGCTATTTTAACCAAAAGGAGGGCAGTGCAGCGCAGCATCTAACACATATGTTTGAATTTCACTCATTTCTCATTGACTCAAGTGACTTCTTTGCCATATGAACTATTGGTTTTGAATACTGAAAGCAAAATTGTTTTTCTCAATTTTTATTGTATGTACAATTGAAATAACCTGGTACCATATTAACACAGGTTTAATCTGCATTGCTTACATTGCCCATCACTCTTTTTAAGTCTAAGCATTCAATAATACATTAAGTGAAGTCTAGGTTTGTAGTACTTGACATCTTCCCTGGTGTAAATATTCTCATCATCATCAGTGTCAAACTGCTAAAATGATAGCACTGAACATGGACATGATAAGATATTTCAGTAGAACATCATATATTTTATTTCCAACATACTGATACAGTAGCAGCAAATATGCTCAAGACCTTTTATAATTACACAGTAAAATAATTGGGACATGGCAACTTTTATACATTATTAAAAGTTTATTTAAGTACAATTGATTTAAATGTACATGTTTTTAAACATGCCTGCATCCCTGAACCCAACTTCCTCCTGCCCTCCTCAGTACTTCTTCCTCGGCATATGGAATAACTGCTGCAAGGACATATTCCACCTTTGTAATCAGTTATTTGAAATATCCTCCCCAATAAAGAGAGAATATACAAATTGACTGTCACACCGTCACAGAGATGGCTGCGCCCACAGTGGAGGCCATGTTCTGTAATGAGCCTTAACCTGCGGGTGTGCCCCGCCCAGTGGGGGTTGACGGGGGACCTCAGGCTGCACCCCCTGCCCCGGCGCTAGGCTGGGAGACCTCAGGCTGTGCCCCCTGCCTCTGTGCCAGGCAGGGAGACCTCAGGCTGTGCCCCCCCCCACCCAGTGGGGCTTGACAAGTGTGGGGCCAGTCAGCTCTGGATGTTGCCCAATGGGAGTGGGGCTGGAAGGGTCTGGGTCTCACGTGATTTTAAGGTGCCATGTGTGGGCAGGGACTTGACTCTGGGTCCTGCAGTGCACCCCAGACTCTGACAGGAGGAATATTTTTCATATACATTTTACTAATTTTATTTCATCTCTGACACTTCTATTATAGAGAATGGGCAAGTAGCAATATTAAAATATTTCCTCTAATTAATTCCCTTTTAATTTGTACAAATTTTGTTCACTGGGCCACTAGTATCCATATAAAGGAAACACTTATAAAACCCCATGAATCCTATTCTTGCCGTCCATCATTACCTATTATCATGGTGGTTCTTTTTTTTTTTTTTCCAAAAGCATTCAATATATATATTGATTTCATAAAGGAAGGGGGAAAGAAAGAGAGATAGAAACATCATTGATAAGAGAGACTCATTGATCAGCTGCCTCCT